AAAGCTCAGCGAAGCTGCCACAGGAAAAATACGCAATCTCCTCTGATAAGCCCCTTTTCGTTTCTTATTTCGTATGATTTTTTCACCGTTGTATTTAGCGTTTTCTTTTCTACAGGTTGGCTGAAGAAAAAATCTCAGCCGCAAAGGTGAGTCAGGGGAACCGCTGCACCTGAAAAACTCCACCACCTGTAGGTTTTCGGTTTCTAATTTTTTCGGCTAATCGATGCCTCATAACGTATTTTTTTGCAGGGATATGTATAAAGGCAGTCGAAATTGGCCAAAACTAGTTAAAAATGGTCAGGCCGAGGTAAACTACCGCTGCCGTGCCAGAACTCCAAAATTGGCCAAAAAGAATTTTTAATATTAATTTTGGATTTTGAGAATATTTTTAGGTACGTAAAGCGTGTTTTAATCTCTACAGAAAAATTCATGAAACCCAAGGACCGTTAGTAGGCATAGTAGAAAGTTTAGTGTTTCAGATACCGATTTGAGTAAGAATCCATCACTTTATTCCCTGTTATAGAATTGAAGTTTAATAAATAATAATATGGTATATTGTGAAATTTAAAAAATTTTAAAAATAATTACAGGTCACTAATAGAGTCAGAACTAGCTAGTTATTTATTTGTCATGTTTAACTGATTATTTAATTTTACAACTTTAGATATATGATAATATATTAGAATGGTTAAATAATTCAGTTGTGCTTTCTTGATGCATATATTGCTTGTCTTGCATGATTTACGGTTGATTTGTGAAATTTGAAATTAATATGTAAACGAAAAATTACTTGGTTATGTGAATTAATAAATGTTTATCTTACTGGATATCTTGAAAGATGGTGGACTGATCAGATACATAGGGAACCATATCATGAACGTTACCTCATATCGGATGGGGTATCGAGGGATAATATTTTTGGCACTCATACTGGACAGAGTATGGGGACAGCCGGTTAGTTAACAAGTTTATATATTAGGTTCACGTGTAGTGGGACACCCCTATGGACTCCCAAGAATACCAGTAAGCAAAATAAAAAAGAGAAAGTTTTTGTTCTTCTTCACTTAAATATGAGATCATAATGTTATTTGAGTTATTGTCTCTATAGGTCGATTTTGAAAATTTCACAACGAAAAGTATGCAATAAATATTTTTCCTTATGATAAATGAATTTACTTAAATTAAGAACTCCATTGGTTATTTTTATGATTTTTACCGACCTTCATTTTCTGTATCGATAAGTAGTGTGATATTCTTATTGGGTTAGTGTAGCTCACTCCCCCTATTAACCATTTCATATCAAGAAGATCAAGATCAAGATCTTGATCAGCATGAGGGCTGTGAGTAGATGTCTCCCTGAATTCTATCAAGAGCTAGTGGAGGTTAACCTCCTTACAACACTTATTTTCTATTTTCATATTTTATTACATTTTTTTTATGAACCGCTGTGAAATGGACATTTCTGTAACCCTATTAGACATGCTAATTTATGTGTAAGGAATATAAACCCTAACGTTATTATATACTTCTGCATTTAAATTATGATTTTATTTTATCCAAGGCTCCGGGTCTTTACATTAACCATGGATGAACCATTAACTTATACAAGAAATAAAAATGAGAATTAAAAGTTAAACAAAAGCTCCAGAACAAAAAGGTTGGATAACCAATTTCAAGTCATTAGAGATGGTGATGTGCTAAAACCCTATTGGACAACTAAGCTTCAAACAAGCTAATAATAGTCTCACTTTCAATAACTAGAGGTTTGTTGATAAGGAAAAGATATGTCCAAGCATAGACACAATCGTTTGTCTTTCAAAGATAAATAACAACAATTTGATTCTTCTGTATGCATGAGTTACAAAAGAATGACATCTCGTTGATTGTAGGTAAATAGGAACGTCATATGCTAAAAAATTAAAGAGAAAAATAATAACCACTTAGTTAAAGGAAGAATGAAGCATATTTAGATACTGAATCAATTTCTCATTAAAAAGTTTAAGTTCCTTGATCCTAACTTGATTTTGCTACATCTTAAGCATGATAACTATAGTAGATGTTAAATAAAATTTTACTCATAACCCTACAACATGACTATTGGATTTTTATACATAGCATGATATTCTGCTTAAAGTCTTAATTTTAATGTATTTAGAACTTATTAAGTGACATGTTTAAAAAATAAGATGATTCGAATTGTAATGATATCTATAAATATATTATAAGTTAGTTCTTTTTAATCTTTGTATCAAGGATATGTAGAAAACTACGAAGATTGTATGTCATCACATGAATTTAGAGCATGGGTGGTCTAAAATCATGCCACTAGAATGCCCAGGGCTAGGTTTAGGAACATGTTTTATCGTGTGCATGTGACAAACCAAATAATCATAGAAAGGATAACAACAACTATATTGAGTGATATTATATCTAGCCTCCAATTTGATGGCTCCAACCTCGTTGAGGAGCACCATAATAGATAAATAGTAATTTACTTAATAATAATTATTAAGTAGTTATTCTTAATTAATTTTATGTTAATGTAGTTTTTTTTCTTGTAGAAAATACAATTAGGTAGGGCACCTAGATATAGCCGAAAATTGATACTTAAAATGCATAAGAATGATAATAATCACTTTGTTGACTGAAATTTTTTTATATTTTAATAAGAAATATTATGTATTATAACTATTAACTCAAGAAAATTATTAAATCTTCTTATTTATTCATGAGCAATGTAGTGCGATTTTAAGGTCTACTAGGAGTGACAATTAAAGGAGTAAACTAATAATCTCAACGGGCTTAATAAAACCCCCTATACAATCATGACAAGAGGAGTTAAAGTGGTGACAATGAGCATTAACAAATGCATACAATAATGGGTTCTAAAGACTTGAATAATAGGTTTTTGATAATCATAGCTACCACCCATTGATGGCCTTGACATTATAGAGAATCCAAAGTTCTAAGGAGTTATCCTCTAGGTTGGAGGTACATAGGGATGAATTAAACAATAAATACAAGTTTATATTGATCTATATCAAAGAGAGAAGGATATCTACTGTTGGAAAGAAGAATATTTTACCTTACTTAGTAGTAGAGTAAGAGACAACAATCGAATGCAACAGTCATTACATCAGTAATAATTATTCTAATAAAAAAGTTAATGTATTTGTTTTTTCCTACTTCAATAAACTTAGGATGAACTCTAACCCTTATTTAGCAATTGGTAACAGATCCTTTGACATATCATTGCCATAGTACTTCATAATACCACTAACATCATATCTTGCGTATTAGCTAATGTTCCAACCCTGGTCATCCTAGCCACATTGACCCCAGCTTAAGATTTAGGATAAAAACTAAGCCTAAAATGAGACCAGAGAGCCCCCCAAAACCCATCTAAAAAATGCATTTGATCTCTCTATTGTTTAGTGATTATTATTAGTTGTGTATATATTAAATTTTATATTTTACATTTTTAGTAAATTTTGATATAGTTTTTAATAAATAATTTAAAATGATATTTCGTTAAATTAAGTAAGATTTTAAATACTCATTATAAATTTACTACTACTATTTATGTTGAAATTTATGACCAAAATCTACAATAATTTTTTTTTCTTAATTGCAATAAGTTTTATCCAAAATGTAGGCAAATCATTTTTGTCATAAGCAAAACAATCCCTATAAAAACATGTAGGATGATTTTTGAATAATTTGTGCCCCCTTTTTTCATCATACAAAAATCTTTTATTCACTAGCCAATTTTTCATCTTTGACAAAGTTGTCACAAAAACATTATTTATTTCATCATCACCTCACACATGTTACGGATCACTTGTTATTTATCTGTGACAATTTTTTGTCATAATTATTACTAAACTTTATACTATCTATTTGTAATTATGTTCTTCGTCACAATTAACAATTTTTTTTTTTGTTGAATAAAAAATAATGTATATCAATTAATTAGTAAATTTACCTTAAAAAAAATTGTTCGGTATATTAATAAAAAGACCGATATTAAAAGCTTATTATGACGACAAATAAGAGTATTTTATCGTTAACCACAATTTTATTTGCAACAAATATTATTACAATTGTCTAATTTAGTTCCATTTCAATTCCAATATGCAATTATTTCCAGAATTTTTGTGTTTATTGTTCTTAAAATTAGACTTTAAAAGAATTTTTGAATTTATGCAATCAAAAATCAAGGTGTAATTTACTCAATCCATCCCATTAAAAAAAGAAAAAAAAGCATTAAAAAGAAGTAGGATAAGATCAAATTAGGTGTCCAGTGCAAGTAATGCAAACGGTTTCTCCTTTCCATCCCCTACTTTTTTAACCACAATTGACTTCATCTTCTAAAACACTTCTTTTGTGAATTTTAAGATTCATACGAACTCATCAACCACATTGGAAAAAAAATTTGATTGGACTTGCCGGTTGAATAATATTAAAATATTAATAATAATATAATAAATAATAAAATAAAAATACACATGAAATGCACGGTCTCACTCTCTTTCGTTTTCATTCTAAGAGAGTATTCGCGGACTAAAAGAATAAAAAATAAATCATACTTTATATATAACTTGTATGATAGTACGATAATTTAATTCGTATTTTGAAGCATCGAAGTAATTGATTTATTTTTAGAGATAAGAATTATGTATATCGTCTAGCACGCCTACAACATTAAATGATATCTTAAATAAATACATACGAATCAACAAATTATATAAAATGTTACAAATTAATTCATTTGAAACAACTAATAATTCTTGAAAATAATGGGGACCAAGATTGAATCTCCATTTAACAAAAGTGGTATTTCAAGATTATTATTTTTTTTTTAATATATAAAAAAATATATATATCAAGAATGAAAGTCATGTTCTCATTGATTTACAACAGAAATGGTAGGGGAATGTTATTTGTTTGAATTTTCTGATCATTTTAGAGAGAAAGAACAAACAAAAAGTAAGATCAGGTAGCCACCAACTGAATCCCATATGCGTGTGACAAATCCAAGTATCCAATGCAAATTACAAAACCACTTCAAAATGTTTCATACAATTTCTCACATAAAATATTATACCTTTCATTTTCTTTCAGTTTTTTTATTTAGATTTTGGAAATCTTTCCACAGACCCACAACACCATCTTCTCAAAAACAATATTTGGTAAACCCATATATGAACCCTCCAGTATATTATCATCATATACATATACATATACATATACATATACATATACATATATATATATATCTCTCTCTCTCTCTCTCTCTATATATATATATATATGTATTGTTTCAGTAACTCCAGAAACAGTCCAGATCCACAGGTTGAGTTGAAGTAGAAGGTGGGTGTTGTTGATCACCAAATGATCTTTTACCCATTTCAAGATTGGACATGACAGAAGAGATTTCGTTGTTGATTTCAGTAGACAAACCAGTTTCCTGTGAAGCACTTATCATCTTGTCCCTCTCTGTGGTTTGCCCATGGTTTTCAATCAAGGCCTTTAGAAGTGACTGATCTTGGATTAGAACAGACCCACCAGGGAGTTGCAGAGTTTGGGGAGAGTAGAATGAATTTGATGAGAATGGGAAAGTATCAAATTGATTTGCCACGAGAGGATTGTTGAATTGGTTTTGGTTTGTTCGAACATCAATAGGATTGTTGGAGAAGCAGGGCACGTAAGCTGATTCTGCAAAAGCTTTGGTTTTGGGATTGTAAGGTAAAGAATCTGTTAATGGTGGTAAACCAGAAATCCCCAATTCATTTCCAAATGAACTCATCTTTACCAATCCTGAGATATGAATTTTCTTCCCACCACAGCTCTTTTGGAAAACTCTACAAATCACCCATTCATTCTACACAAACAACGAATAATGAAATATAATTAAGTTGTGAGTTAATAGATCTCTCAATTTGAGCTTTTAAAAATAGGAGAAGAAAGAAAAGAAAAAAACAATACCTTGGCAGTTTTGGGGAGATTATGTACTGAGTATTTACCCTCCAATCTATATTCATGCATGACCCAGTTAGTTTTTTCCCCCTTAGGAGCTCTACCTTTATAGAAAACTAGGGTTTTCTTCATCCCAACTAAAGATTTTCCTCTGTAAATTTCTTTATCTTTCCCTGTTGCCTTCCAGTAACCAGCATCAGTTGCTCTATTAGTCCTTAACCCAGTTGGGTATTTTCTGTCTCTCACACAGAAAAAGTACCATTCTTTCTCACCCATTTTTGCTTTCCCTTCATCCAAACAACCGAAAAGAAAATTTTCAGAAAAAAAACATAAATACCATGAAAGAAATAAATTATGTTGCGAAGGAACTTACATGGCAATTCCCATGGCTCAGACTTGTTCAAATCCACCTCTCCAATGGCTCTAGCAGAGAAATTCATACCAATAACCTTCTTGTGTAAGTAGTGAGATATGAGCTCTTCATCAGTTGGATGAAACCTAAATCCCGGTGGCAAATCCATCTGATCATCTTCCTTACCAGAAACGTTTCTTTCCATTCTCTGAAAAACAAACGCTAAAACCCTAATTCTCTTCCTCCTAAAGTCTCAAACTTTTTAAAATATACGAAATGGGTTGCTGCGATTTCTTTATATAAATACTGCTCTGTGTCCAAAACAGCTTATAGAGAAAGCCCAAGCAAAAAGATTTGAAATGGAAAGACTTGAACTAAAAAGGTAAAAGAAGTTAGGAATAAAGACAGAGATTAAAACAAGAAGGAGAAGAAGAAGAAGAAGAAGAAAAGAGGAGGATGAGAAGCCATGGAAATAAAAAGTTGCAGACCTGAAAAGTGGAGAGATGTTAAGAGAAAAGGAAGTGAGAAGGAACAAAAGCCCCTAAATACTGGTGTTATGGGGGAAGATAGAAACGTGGAATGTAAGGAAGCTTGGCAGTTTGTTTTAGCCTTCCTCTAAATTTTGGTGTCTAGTAATCATTAATTATAATTTTTTTTTTCATATATTATGTATATATTCCTTGTAAATTTTGACTAAAGACAACTCATCTAAAACTCTATGCATATAATCTGGAGATTAGGAGTAAATAACCAAATTAATTTTATTAAATATGTTATGAATGTAAAACTTAAAGCATATGACTTTTTTTTTTTTTTCAAAATAATATTTCTATTTTGATGATTAAAAAAATTGAATTTTGGAAAGTGGAAAGGGAGCAAGATCCATCACCCCCAATTCTTTTTTTATTTTTCAAATTCATGAATTCATGCATATATTTGTTCATTAAAAGGTATGAGATTTATACCATAATGGAAGCATGAATGAAATATGTTTCTAGAAAACACTAAACATAATATTTTAAAATTTTCTAATTTTTATCATTGTCTATATTATTGTTCTCTTCATTAGTAAATAATCTCTATGATTTTGTAAAATGAATAATTTTGTATAGAGTTAAATAAAATAAAAATTAAAAAAAAAACAATTTTATATAGCGAAAAGCTTATCACTTTTTGTTCGTCCTATTTTTCTATTGGGGCATACCAAGGAGAAAACTTTTTACCCTTCTTTGATTGGCTCCTCAACTCATTATGAATTGAATTGAACTTTAATTTCTAGACAAAATAATTCAGATGTTCATAAAGATGATAAAATCTTACTAGTCAATTCATAATTATATATATATGGGTAAACTATCTTTAAATTTAAAGTGTAATTTTTTTTTTTTTACACACTTTATCAATTTAAAATTATAAAATATTACTAAAAGTTAAAAAATTATTTATAAATGTTCGTCGAATTTTCAAGTAAATTTAATAGACTTAAATAATACAATTATATTTATTCTCTTGATGAACTATATTTAATTTGAATCAATATTCTAAATTCAAATATTTTTCATGTCTTTTGCACTTTTGAATAAACTTAATAATATTCTTATTGCTAGCAAAATTGGTGGAATTCTTGAAGTTGATTCGACTAGGCTAGATGTTGGGTTGCTTGTATGAGGGTGAAAATCGTACATCATCATTAGTCCTCGTGATTACCATGCAATTTAAGCACTGAACAAATGAGCAAAAATTTCTCATGTAGCCTATGCCAAGTCCATAAAGGATAAACTTCAATCAAAGGTTTACTATATCATGTGAAATGATTTATCAAATAGTTTAAGACAAGTAAAAAATAAAAGTCTTTTTCAAAACAATAATCTGCTCATAAACAATGACAAACATGTCTAGATTAAGAAAATTCAACTTCTCAAACTCATTAATCTCATCCACTAGATTAACAGCATTATAATTTAAATGAATAAAATGAGCATATCCATAAGAAAGTTTTAAAGAACATATCCATACCATAATGTAAATATATCATTTTCTTTTATTCTCCGAAAGTAATCGAACGACAAGTATTAAGAGTTTTAGACAACACCCTTGTGTCAAGCTCAATCAATTTACCTTTCTGACTTTTTCTCTTCCCTAGAGATAAAATTAAGAATATCAAGACGGTGTCGTTTACGAGCATAAATAGAGAATAGAATGCTTTGGTTGGGTTTTGGGGTTTGGGCATTTTCCTTTCCCATCTTTTACTTAGCAACAAAAATAATTAAATATATTAAGAGTTAATTAAATCTTTTCTACTTTGACTTCTCCACTTTTATTACTTTACCAAACTTCCCTTTCTTTGGTTTTTGATATACATTGAACTTGATAAAGTTAGAAATTTAATAAGGATCAAATTTTGACCATAATAAGCACTTAAAAAGAGATTGTATCATTTAAGTAGTTCTTATACTATTTAATTATGTTCAAATTAATTTTTGTAATATTTTTATGTTCATATATCATCTACTTTTAAAAATTTATTTAAATTTCTTTCTTTCGTAATAATTTATAATGAATCATTTTTCACATATCTAACACTTAAACACGTGAAAACATTTGATTCGAGGTTTTGTTATATAAATGTTATGTAAGATCCGATATGTTAAAAATATAAAAAAAAAATCATTCATTCGATAAGATTTCAATAAACTTCAAATCTAATTAATCAACACTTTACATATATATATATTTTAATTTCCCTCTACGATCATGTAAAATTTGACTACTTTTTCTTGTTAAAAAATAAAAAATAAAAAAAGGTAAAACCAAACAGCCCATGATTCATCAACTTATAAATCTCAAATACTACAAGCTTAAAAAGGCCGATTGAATGAATTGCCCCTAAATACTTAAGTGTATACATTAATTTCACAAGAGAAGGGGAATAAAACCCTTCTCTTCAGCAAGACTACAGAGATTCAATTTGTCTAAGATATTTTCTTCATTTTCCTTTCTTGCCAGTCCTTGATTTCAGTATCTATCTTCGCTCTCACAGTTGCAAGAAACCCTGGATATGGCTCGTATCCAAACACAGTTTGAAGCACCTACCACATAACCAAATTCATTTTTTTTTTAACCAATTCAAAACCCTTAGCTAAGTAGTTCAAGAGAAATTCAAGAGGCAAGGGAAGAATTCTTACCTCCAGCAACACAAAGAAAGGAGCCATTAGGAAAGCTTGAGCAAGATTGTCCAAAAGAGCCGGTGCTCTTTTCTATACAAGAATATTTTGTCGGGCGGCTTATATAAATTAATCGACTGATATCTTTAAAATAATGAGGAAATGGGATTACTGTATCTCAAAATTACACTTACCTCAAATACCCCATGGCCAAGAAACTGTCCTGTCCAGCAGATCAATTGGGCCGCTAGCACAACCTGAAAGTCAGTCAATGTTATTGATGTCAGAAATCACAAGTAAGAAATAAAGTTCAAATTGAACAAGTGCTAAAACAACATCCCATAACTTGGTTTTTTAACCTTTTCATTTTAAAAGAAAATCAGATAAAAACAAAAGCAACCTAAAAGTAAAACATGAAACTACTTCTTGCTAAAAAAAAAAAAAAAAAAAAAAGAAAAAAGAAGTGACTCGTTCAATTGAAATAAAACAAAACGAAAAGCTTGATGGTTATCTACTTGTTCAATGTCTTCTTACGGAATCCCAACTTCAGTTAGAAGCCTTAAGCTATAGATCACTGTAGTTCTACCTCATGGAAACCTTTCACTGTTGTTCGCCGTCTTTTCATTAAATGATCTATATTTGTTCAAACTTAACAAGTGCTAGAATGACATCCCATAACATGGTTTAGAATTTTTTTTCCTTTTCATTTTCAAATAAAATCAGATAAAAACAAAAGCAACTTAAAAGTAAAAAATGAAACTACTTCTTGCTGAAAGAAAAAAAAGGTTGACTTGTTCAATTGAAATAAAACAAAACGAAATGCTTGATGGTTATCTACTCGTTCAATTTCTTCTTATGGAATCCCAACTTCAGTTAGAAGCCTCAAGCTAAAGATCACTGTAGTTCTACCTAATGCAAACCTTTCAGTGTTGTTCACCGTCTTTTACCTTCATCAAACGATCTATATCTGTTCAAATTTGACAAGTTCTAGAATGAAATCCCATAACATGGTTTAGAATTTTTTTTTTCCTTTTCCTTTTTAAAAAGAAAATCAAATAAAAACAAAAGCAACTTAAAAGTAAAACATGAAAGTGCTTCTTGCTGAAAGAAAAATGAAAAAAGAAGTGACTCGTTCAATTGAAATAAAACAAAATGAAAACTATATTGGGTATCTATTTGTTCAATGTCTTCTTATGGAATCCCAGCTTCAGTTAGAATCCTTAAGCATAGATCACTGTAGTTCTACCTAATGGAAACCTTTCACTGTTGTTCACTGTCTTTTTCCTTCATTAAACGATCTATAGCTTCCCAGCTAACATAAGTGCATTTTTCAAATATTCTAGAACAAAACTTAATGACCACTAAATGCAAGTACTGTGGAACACCTACCCATGTCAAATAGCATTTAAACAAAACAAGAGCCATTATTCGCCCCTGCAACTGTTCAAACAACCTGAGGAAAACACCCATGCTTAAAGCAAACTGGTTGCCAGTGCTTTGTCTAACAATTAAAGTTGCAATCTACATTTCTAAAGTGGTCTTGAAACCCCTTTCCCACCACCCCAAGAGAAAAAATTTATTAAAGAAAGTATAAATATACGCTCTAATACAAACAGAATGTGTTTATATTCATGAGAACAACATAAAGACAGCAAACAGTGGCAGAGACAACAAGTAATGCAATAAACCCACATTGTAATGCATTAAATGGAAAATAGAGAAATAGATTAGCAATATAACCGAGAACCCTTATGAAGCAAGACACTGACTCCAACCCAGCTATTATTTTACATCTCATAAAGATTCAACAAAAAAGATTAATAAGTTATAGGAACAGATGGAAGAAGAATGAATCAATAATAACAATGGGAAGTTCATGGACATAATTAGTGATATCATTTGATGAAAAAGAATCGTCCACAGAAGCATCAAAACACCTTGTTATTCTTCCCAACTAATATATCATTTCAGAAACTCTTTTCCCAGTTTTACATTTTGGATTTCAATGATGAATGGAAAAGAATTTTCTAAGTTTCTCACACTTTTAGAACCTGAAGATATTGTTTGAACCCAATTGCAATAATGCATTTGATACTAAGAAGGGGATAAGAAAATAAATAATGTCTCTCACTCAGAAGACATGATACCTTACAGAAACAAATATGCAAGTGATATTGTCAGAACCAAAATTGAAAGGCAGCCAGATTGTTTAAATTCAGATCGCCCATTTGTTTCTGTTAACAAAGCATTGAGGAGGAGGAAGGGGGTCTATAACTTGTTCTACCTCTAAACAAAACCAAACAATCTTTAATGGAAGAATACTAAAAGTAGATAGTAACAGTGGCAACAAAATGACAAACAAGTCAAAATCTGAAGTAAACAACAGATTTCACATGAGTTTATTGCTCGAGTACAAACAAATATATGCAAAATCAAAACTTTGTTCTGCATGATACTTTTGTAAAATTCAATTTATTGAACTAAAATCAATACAGCAAATCAAATCAGATACCCAAAATCTTCTACCCCTTACACCATATTTCTCAGCAACTAATCACAAGACTTACCTTCCAAGCCAGAGAATAGCCAAGCCGAACAGCAATATAACTTGCTCCAACCCAGCAAACCATGCAAATCAAAGCGGCCAACGACCCAGCTTTCTTGTCCAACAAAACATAGAACAAAGCATACATCAAAGCAAAAACAAACCCAAAATTCAAAACCAAGGCATGATTTAAGGCCGATGGAATAAACCCAATTGGAGGGAGGTCGTATATAGAAGGGGTAAAGTAGAAGAGAATAAGAGAAGTGAAAAAAATTGGCCACACAAACAAGGTGTGTATCAAAATATTAACTGGGTTGCTGTGATACGCCCCATAGAACGCAAAATGCTTTTCGAGATCAATAAATCCCGTCCTACCCATCTGCATCTGAAATTTTCTCGAGAAAATTAGAAAACTTTCTAGCAGAGGTGACGGAGAAAAGGAAAGAGTACCCGCGGTCTTTCTAAGGAAGACGTCAGGATCGTTAAAAACTAGAGTTCCCTCTCACCAAGAACGACATTGTAAAGTTCAATTCCGTGTGGTTGAGATTTTCTAAGTCGTCAATCAACGACGAAAGGCCTCTTGCTAAATTGCGCTTGTAGTTCACAGTGCTAACCTGCGCAGATTGACTGATTTAGGAAATTTTGATCAAAATGAACTTACGACCAATTCGGGCTAAATCTTATCCCAAAAAAAA